AGAAAAGTTATTTCTTAAAAATAAGAAATTGGGACTAAATGAATTAATGATTGAATCCCATTTCTATAGAAATGGCAGAATGATGGAAACTGAGAAAACGAAACTTTGAAGATGAAACTTTAAAAAAAAAAGCCTATTGTGTTCTTAAAAGATAAAACGAAACTTAAGATTGCTTTAAAAAGTTTGCTGTGTTCTTGAAAGCTAGTCTGCAGTGCCAACTAGTGGCAGAAGGGAAAAGATTTTGACTTGGAAGAAACTCTGACTATAGTTGATCTTGACATTTCGGTAGACTGATAAAGAAAACAGAGAGAAGACTGGATTTTGAACTTTCCTTTTGGGTTTTAATCTTTTATTATTATTATTATTCACTGACTAATGATTGCTTTGAAGTTCCATGTTTAGATTTTTGCTGGCATTCGCACAAGAATGGAAGAATGAAGACTTACCAACGGACTCAAAAATAATTTATAAAATCATGGAATGTGCGGAGTCCAACAGACTTACAAAACTGATCAAGGGTAAAAGAGACTCAGATTTTTATAGTAGCTGGAACATGTGGTATGATTGGATACAGAAACGATGGGAGAGAGACAAAGGATAATGTTGGATTATAAGTATAGATGATGGTATAATTATGGTAATCAATAAGTATTGGAAAGGTAAATTTGTATATAGGAATCTGTAAATAGTTTCTATTTTTACTTTCTGATTATTGGTGTATATATAAATGGATATTTTGGTGATGTTATACCATGATAGAAAAACTATTATACATTTGTTTTTGTTTTTTTTTTGAACTATAATAAAAAAAATAACAAAAAATAAAGCTCTATAAAAGTGATAAATATTGGAATACATGGCAGTGATACTGCAAGGATTTTTGTTCATTTGCTTAAATTGTGCTCCATCAACTATACAGTTCTAGGCCAGTGGTGAAATGTAAAATTTGTTACTACCGGTTCTGTGAGTGTGGTTTGATGGGGGTTAATGTGACTGGGTGGGCGTGGCCAACTTTTTTTTTTTACTTTTAAAAGCATTTTTTAAAATGCTTTTAAAAGGCTCTGACGATCCCAGCTGAGTTGCCTCATCAGAGGCTTTTTTTTTTTAAAGCAAAAAAAAAAAAAAAGTTCCGAACCACCCGCCGCCATCACTACTGGATTGGGCGATCCAGTCCGAACCGGGAACATTTCACCTCTGTTCTAGGCCTTTTGTCCAACTGTGATTTTTATAGTGTGAATTACTCCCAAAATTATGTATTGGCTAGGATGTTATGTTGGAATTGCTTGAGGGTTGGGTCAGTCCTTGCCTAACAACCAGCAAAATTGTAGTTCATTGTCTCTGCTGAAAGGTCCGGATCAGGAGACCGCCAGAAGAGCAGTATCCCCCCCCCCATGGTGTGGCTTTCTCGACCAGCTCTCCATCAGTGGGGAGGTGTCTGGGTTGGCAAGGGTGAGTGAAGTCCCCTGAGGTATCCCTCCTCTGCAGCCTCTTTTTTTTTCTTTCTTATATTTTTCTTTGTGATTCAGAAAAGTTATTTCTTCAAAATAAGAAATTGGGACTAAATGAATTAATGATTGAATCCCATTTCTATAGAAATGGCAGAATGATGGAAACTGAGAAAACGAAACTTTGAAGATGAAACTTTAAAAAAAAAAGCCTATTGTGTTCTTAAAAGATAAAACGAAACTTAAGATTGCTTTAAAAAGTTTGCTGTGTTCTTGAAAGCTAGTCTGCAGTGCCAACTAGTGGCAGAAGGGAAAAGATTTTGACTTGGAAGAAACTCTGACTACAGTTGATCTTGACATTTCGGTAGACTGATAAAGAAAACAGAGAGAAGACTGGATTTTGAACTTTCCTTTTGGGTTTTAATCTTTTATTATTATTATTATTATTCATTGACTAATGATTGCTTTGAAGTTCCGTGTTTAGATTTTTGCTGGTGGATGAAAGGAACTCTATTTTGTGTTTTGTGTCTTTTATTTTTACTTATTTTTTTAGGGCCTTTTTTTAAATGCCTTTTTTAAAAAAACAAAAACAAAACTAGATTGACAAGAAATCGGATTAAGACTACAAGAGTCAGAAGAAAATTTTTCCTTAGATGCGCAAAAAGCTTTGGATAATGTGAATTGGCGATTTATGCTGCTTGAAATGGAACAGATGGGCTTTGGCAGAAAATTTATTCAGGCAATAGAAACTATATACCACAAACAAACGGCAAAAGTAATGATAAACAGAGAATTGACTGATTCTATGGAGATAGAAAAAGGTACCAGACAAGGATGCCCACTGTCCCCACTGTTGTTTATATTGACATTAGAAGTCTTAAATAGAAATATTAGAGAAGAAAAAGATATAAAAGGAATGAAAATTCAAAAAGAAGAATACAAATTGCAAGCATTTGCTGATGACCTGGTCTTTATTATTGAAGAACTATTAACATCAATAAATACACTGATAGAGAATATTGGAGAGTTCGGGAAAGTAGCTGGTTTGAAAATTAATAAAGATAAAATGAAGATTTTGACTAAAAATATGTTGACAAAGCAAAAAGATGAACTGAGGGAGATGTCCAAGATGCAAGTTACAAATAAGGTCAAATATTTGGGGATATATTTGACAGCAAGGTGTAGTTCACTTAAAGAAAATAACTATAATAAACTTAAGCAACAGATGGGGGCAGACTTGGCAAAATGGGAAAATTTGCAGCTTTCCTTGATTGGTAGGATATCAACTATCAAGATGAATATTTTGCCTAGAATTTTATATTTGTTCCAGACAATTCCAATTAGATTGGGGAAAGACTTTTTTGAAGATTTGAATAAAATGGTGTTAAAATATATTTGACAGGGAAAGAAGGCAAGAATAAAATTAAAGTTACTACAAGATGCTAGAACGCGGGGAGGCTTTGGTTTACCTAATTGGGAACTTTATTATCAAGTAACAAGCCTGATGTGGATTAAAGAATGGATAACTTTAAAAAATATTAGATTATTGAATCTAGAAGGACATGATTTGTTGATGGGGTGGCATGCTTTTTTATGGTATAAAGGAACAAAAATACAGGGGTATTTTAGAAGACACTACATACATGAAGCTCTGTTATTGAATTGGGAGATGATTAAAAAACAACATTATTTGAAAATTCCAGTCTGGGTATCTACAATTGAAGCATTTTCATATTCAGTAGTATTCAGAAGGGAACAAATTATTAGATATAGTGAATTAATGGATGAAAGGGGTGAACTTAAAACAAAGCAAGAATTAGAAGAACAAGGTTTCAAGATGGATTGGTTTTCTTACTGGCAAATACGTTCTAGATATGAAGAAGATTCTAAACAAGAAGGTTTTTATAATGTCCTGACTAATTTAGATAAGATTTTAATGGGTTCTGATGACTATGTGATTAAAAAATTATATAGATACTTGTTAGAGGTAAAATTGGAAGAAGAGCAAGTTAAAGAGTCAATGATAGCATGGGGGAAAAACTTTGGTCATGGTATTGATTTAGAGAAATGGCAAAAATTGTGGTCGCAGAATTATAAAATGACAATGTCTACAGCATATAAGGAGAATTTGTATAAGATGTTTTACAGGTGGCAGCTACCCCTGATAAGGATAGCCAGAATGTTCAAGAATAAATAGGAGAAATGTTGGAAGTGTCATCAGACTCCAGGATCATATTACCATATGTGGTGGACATGTGTAGAAGCTAAAAGATATTGGACTAAGATACACATGTCGTTGGAAAAAATGACAAAGAAACATATTGACTTTAAACCAGAGATATTTTTATTGGGGATTTTACCAGAAACATATAATAGAGAATTGCAATATTTAATTGTGAACGTTTTAACAGTGATTAGAATCGTATTTGCTAAAAATTGGAAAGGAGAGAAGCTACCTACTGATGATGAGATTATTAAGAAAATTATGGAATGTGCTGAAATGAGTAAATTGACATTTGAAATTAGAGAACAGGAAGATAAACAATATTATTTGATATGGGATTTGTTTTATCAATGGATAGATAACAAATCATGGAATTGAAGTATGAAATATACTCATGTAAAGAAAAAATATCTTGTTCATGTAAAGAAAAAAAATCTGATGGTTTTTTTTCTATAAAAGATATAAATTTCCGTTATAAATTGGTATTCTAGAAATGGATTTATGCACAAGAAAATATGAACCGTTCAACTTACTGTCTGTAATTGTTTGGAATGATGATGGTTTTATGTTTTGTTTTTGTTTTAAAATAAAAAAAATTCAAAAAAGAAGAAGAAAATTTATCCTTTTTGGTTGTTTGGATTTGTATTTTTATCTTTTACTTTTGGCAATTGAATTTTCTCTCTCTCTTTTTTTTCCCTCTGTGTTGGGATATTTGGAAATTTGATTTTTGAGGGAGGTGGTTGTTTGGAATTTTTGTTTTTTAATTTTTTTTATCTTATCTTTCATTTTTATTATTATTATTATTCTTTTTTTTTACCAGTCCAACCATTGGGGAGGATTAGGTACCTGGATTATAAATATGAAGAAATTTATATCTCATCCACACCCAACAGCAAGTCCCTCATCGACAGAAACATAGAAAACTTTGGAGATGATGGAATTAAGAAATTTTATACAATCGCTTCATGATGACTTAAAATAGGAAATAAAAGAAATGAAAGCCATGATTGGGAAAAATGAAGAGAGAATCCAGAAAGTAGAAGAAAAAGTGGAAATGACAGAAAAGAAAGTTGAGAAATTAGAAGAAAAATTGGCACCAACTGAAAAGTCAATTACCCTGTTGGAGATGGAACGTTCTGAGTTTTACTTAAGACTCCAAAATATAGAGGAAGAAAAAGGAGAAAATTTACCTGAGATGATTGCTGAGATACTATCAGAAATTTTGGGACAATCCAAGGAAAAAATCTTAAACGAGATTGATGAAGCCTTCTGTTGGAATCATCCTGGTGGGCTTCTCATGGGTCAGATTAGGAAAAACACAAGGACAGGTGTTTTCTCGGGATGAGAGAGCAGCAAACAAAAGGCTACAATCTCTTTTATTAGTTATCCAAATACAGCGTCATCAGAAGGCGTTATTATGGCTACACATCTCATATTACATACAAGAGATAGGAAAGCGATACTAAAGATGCAAAAGCGAAACTCAACTCTGGCTATTTGGTACCAGTTACTACCAGGCGAGAGGCCCATCTCTTCGTCTCCCCGTTATCAGAGATTACCTCAACCCTCAGGAATGTAGCAGGAAGGGATATCTCTGGCTTTGCTAATACAGTCTATGTTAAGAACAAAGAGAGAACAAAATAGGGCCCTTCAGAGAGTATCCATATGAACCTGCTTTTCATAGTCAGATTATTTCGATGCTAAGCTCCATACAAGTGTCCAACCAGTTAAACTGGTCTATACATGTACTATGGCCACCGCATTCCCACATTTCCTCTGTTTTTGTTTTTTGCAACAGGGTTCAGTTGTGTTGTTATTATGATGTTCTCTTTATGCCTGGAAAACATACCTATCATCATAGCAAACAAAGCAGGAATACATTGGATACTACAACATACAGAAATAAGCAAAGCAATGATCATGAGTACAGTAGACAATATGTTCTTCAGCCATCTGGTTTCTGCAAATGTTTTTAGGTCACCCATCCTTTTATTAAGGTGAACAAAGTTAGTGGAAAAGTGGCCAGGAGATGTCAAGCGAGGTAGGCCATCAAGTTTCTGAGTTGTATTCCAGTTATACATTTCCACAAATCGCTCATACAAATTGTAAATCCATCCGGTTTCAGGCACCCAAGAAAACCACATGTCAGGAGTTTGTAACCTCTGAGTTATCTTGGAAGCCCTATCTTGCAAGTCCCGAGCACCTTCTCTGACCACACCTGATTTGTTCCTCCAGTTCCAGAAGGGCTTTGGTTTCACTTTTCAGGACGTCGTTCCTATTGGAGGGAATAAAACCTTTGCACATTTGCAGAAGGGAGGGGAGACATAGGATACAGCAACAAAGCAAAACAAGCAGTACAATTATAGATACAATAATTGGCATAATTGATTTCAACCAAGAACCATCCGGGAGCCATGACCAAAGAGCAGCCCAGATGTCAATGGCGCCAGATCCATTGGATGATAAGGGATTGTTTTTGATCTAGTTTTCCATATGTTCTATGGTGTGAGTGATGTTATACTGATAATCAGATACATAGGTACAACAATGTGAATGCATGAGGGCACAATCGCCTCCTTTAACTACCAGCACAATATCTAAGGCATATCGGTTTTGTAAGACCACCTCCCTGATTTCAACCAGTTCTTTGTTCATCAGCTTCAGCACCTTGATAGTCTCGTTGAACATATGTACTGTCCAGTTATTTAATAAATGAAGATCCCGATAGTTCATTGCCACCCGAGATTGGGCAAGATGCCTCTGGATATCTGAGTTTTTAATGAGCCACCCAATGTCAGTGGTGGGTGTGGTTTGAGAAATAGGAGTAGTGGAGTTTGTCTGATTAGCAGCTATTTGAATGTCTTTTATTACTGTCCCATCATGATTGAATGTAGAGGCTGCTGACATGAAGGATCATGAGATGTAGGGGCAATAGATGCAAGATCGTGACTTAATTCCAGAATCCATGATATATAGTCTCTTTTATGCAATTGTTACAGAGGCCCATTGTTCTTATTCACTCCCCCCTCAGCTGGAAATGTCAATATGGGAACCTTAGGTGGTGGAGTAGATTTAGGTAGAAAGTAAGGACCTTGTACATAGACAATGCGTTTGTGGCAGGAGCGTTCTTACATGGTCACTTGAGAGTCCCCAAGCTAACAATGTCCAAGGCCATAAACAAATCATAGTCACTTATACGCGTGAAACAAAATTACTAGCAAAATTAGAAAAACAATTCTACTAACATTAGTATGTGTAAGAAAGTGTTATATTAAAGCTAATAAAATGTATATGTACAATGTGAAGGTAGTTTTCTCCTGATGAAATCTTCCGCTGTGCTCAGGGGACTAGCTTCCGGTGTAGTCCTGCAAAGCTGATGGTCACCACCTTGCGTTAAGAGTCTGTTGCCATCTCAGCACCAGGGGTTTCTCCTTCTTTTTGTTGTAAATGAAATGGTCTTACGTGTCTTTTGGGGATCCAAATGATGCGATCATTGTCCTGGACAGCAGCATATCCATGGCCCCAGGTAATAAGGTCAGCAGGCCCTCTCCATGCAGGATCAGGTAGTTGGTGGAAATAGACCTTCGGTTTTAGGGCAGCTGATGGATAAGCAGAAAAATGACGGGTCGCAGCCGATGTGGGAGGCTGTCCAGTCAGGTTAAGGAAGTTCAAAGTATATAAGCAAAGATTGAGTTTGTTTTGCATGGCTGGGAGGCCGAGGCATTTTTCCTCTTTCAATTTTATAAGCCAAATTTGTGTGTGATGGACCACTTGTTACAAAAGTCTGCAAAGGCAGTACTGGTGTAGTAGATCCATTGTCAGTTTTAATTTCAATTGGGCGTCCCATCGATGCAGAAATCCGAATACAATGATTTATTACATGTTTGGTTGCTTCTCCCCTTTGTGGAGATGCCATGATAAATCCTGAATAAATGTCCACGGAAACATGCAAATATTTCCATGGGGCAAAGGATGGGTACTGAGTTACATCCATTTGCCAAATTTCACAAGCTTTTAGTCCTCTAGGGTTACACCCATAGGGATAGAATGAGCTTGTTGACTACAGGTAGGACATTGTTGTATGATGGCAGTCGCTTCAGCTGCCGTGAGACCAAATTGTTTCGCTAATGCTTTTTATTTTGATGAAAATAGGCATGACTGTCCCATGGTGTGATGGAAGATATAACCATAAGCGCAGTTGCAGCTTTGTCATTTCCCTCTTCCAATCTCTGTCTCCGCTACCCACAACATCTATAACCTTCCAGTAAACAAATCTCCTTATAACACTAAACATTCAAGTCCTTTCTCCTACTGCCATTCTGACTTCCAAGTCAGCCCAAATCTGTGCAAGCCAACTTTTACTCCTTCTCTGCACCAATATCTGATCGTCCTTTTAAATCTCCTTGTAAACAAGCATACTTCCAAAAGTCAACTTTCTGCTTTCCTTCACTAACTCTCTCTTACATTCCCTGTAACACTGGATTCTTTACATACCAGTCTTTATTCAAAATAGCACAATTATCTATTCACAGCCTACAATATCCAGTCAATCCTAAAAATTTCCTCAACTCTTCAGGTGTTATTTTCTTTCATTAATTAAATGTCCTATGTATTTTATCTCTCTGTCTACATATTGTAATTTCTAACTCATCTCTGTGATAATTCCTAAAAATGGCAGCAGTTTATGCTGCTGACAAAGAAACAAACAAATAAACAAACAAACAACAGACAAGCAAAGAACAAACATGCCATCTGTTAAGTATGCAAAATGCACGTAGACATAAAAACATTAAGGAGTATTTTGAGTCAATACTCTGAAATAGAATTGGGTATGAAAGTATTTGAAACGTCAAAAATGTTCAGAAGGAAAAAAATCAAAATTGCATTCTGAGCCGTTCAGTGCTCTGCAAAGGCAGGTATCAGATATCACCCTTTCACTCCCGCCTTTCTCTGGCTGGTTCTCTGAGAGAAAAAAAATGGTTAAAAGTACAAAGTAACCCCCCCCCTCTTTCGTGCCTCTCATCTCCCAGGGAAAAAAAGGGAGGGGGTGAGGGAAAGGAAAAAATTTTTAAAACAGACCAAGCCTCCCTTCTCCTCGGTGGGCAGGGAGAGAAAAGAAAAAAGGTGCTTATACACAAAATTACATTTCATGCAATCCAATACACACCCATTCACATCTGTACTGCGATCAGACCTTTTGTATAATACATCCTTCATGCGAATCAGTCATTCAAATTATTTCAATGAACTAGTTTATTCCCAAAACAGTGCAAAACATAGGCAGGAGTCATAATCACAAAAGGTGACATGGGCCCATAACCACTGCCCGGTTTCCCACAGTTTCAAGTTCAAACCCAGTTAATTTTTGCTGGCCAGCCAAGCATATCAATTCCACACACTATCATTATAGATGTACATCAACAAAATATTTTTAACAGAAATCACTTCAAGTTGATTAGTTCAAATTATCTGAGTCTTCCCATTTAGACAGGCTCTAATTTTATTTCCTGCTAAACCCCGGGTGGGAAGAACAATAAACAATTTATTTATTTATTTATTTATTTATTTATTTATTTTTTCAGCCTGAGAAACATACTGAGAGTCAGAGATCAAATTAAAAGCTTGTTGAGAAAAAGTGTGAAAGCTAAGATAGTCGCAGACAATTAGTGTAAGATTCTTTCCAGATGTCCTTGTAAGCAGTGGCTCCTCTGGAGAAAATCATTAAGCAAGTAAACCTAGGATCTTTAGGCAAATAATATGAAATACAGCTTACATAGTCAGTTAGAGCACACTGAAGAGATGAATCATTCCGAAGACAAAAGTAAAAGTCAGATTTTGAGATAGAAAGAATAATATTTATTAGATCAGTTCCATTTCTTCGACAGTCTGGATTACGTCCCAAGGTTATAATTTCAGCAATAGCTTAAATAAAGGGTAAAACATTTTTAGATGGTAATGAGACAAATAAAGCAATGTACTTTTTGCTGTTCTAAAACAGAATTAAATCTCCTGGCTTTTTCTTTTAGTCAATAACTCAAATAATGGACTAAGTAAATGCATAGGTAAAGAAAAATATGAGCAGTCCCAATTAATAGTACCCAGTAATTGTTGCAAATTTAACTTTGGGTAACTTTAAAGGCCGGAGCAGAAAGAGATTGCACATACAGATAAGGAGCTGTATTTTCTCTGGGGCAATGTGCAATTCATTTACACATAAATCATTTTGTATTTTCAAAAAGCCAATTAGGTTGTATTTTTTGTGCTCCAATTAAAATGTCATCTATACGATGATCCTGACACACTTTAATCATATCTGCCAAATTAAGATTTTTTTCCAGCCCAACAATAGCTTTTAAGTGGTGTTGTTTTTTAGCTTTCTTTCTTTATGTTAGAGAAGGCTTGTTGACGCTTGCCAGAAACAAGCATTTTTCTGAAGGCTTGTTAAGCACATTCAGAAGAAGCTTGCAAAATTGCAGCCGGCAGACACACTGAAAGCATTTCAGCAATTTATTCTATCCATCCCCCTTTTTTTTGTCTAACTGTTTCTTTAAATTCTGCTTAGTGGGGGTGTAACTGACTCCTTCAGAATGAGCTGTTTAATTTCATGCCGTGCATCTGTGTGGGTGATTTAACGTGAGAGCAATCTCTCAACAAAGTCTGAAAAGGAACTATTAACAGTGTCCTGAAGGCTTTTTTTTTTTTTTTGTATCATTAAACACTCTATAACTAATCTCCAGAGTGCAAAAAATTTTTCAGGGCTGGGGAGGTTTGTGGAGGCATGTTCCCATCTGCTTCCACATATTCACTTTTAAAGAGCCCTTTTATTGCCAAAAGTATTTTAGAAGGTAGATCAAATTCTTTTTTATCACGGGCAGGACTTTCCCGTTATCTTTTTTAAAAACAATAATATTAGTCTTGGATATCTCACCAAGCTCTTCAGATACTGCGTCTGCTGCTTGGAAAGACCTCCCCCTATACTCACGAAAGATTGTCGCCGTGTTTCAGGCAAAATCGTGGTGCACAGCCTCTTCCAGGCGGTGAGAACAGGGGTTCCAAGAGACGTATAGCCTCAAGGGCTATCATGTCGGGGTACCTGGCAATTCTGCCTCCATACTCACGATTTATGGGAGGGTGCTTCGTCCGCAGACGACCGGCCCTGGTTTGCAGAGGCTTCTTCCAGCCGAATGAGTATGAAATTACCAAGAGACATATAGCTACAAGCAGAGTTATCACGTCGGGGTCACCAGATGTTGAATTCATTCTGGCGGGCTTCTCATGAGAGTTTCAGTTTAGGAAAACACAGGACAAGCGTTTTCTCGGGATGAGAGAGCAGCAAACAAAAGGCTACAATCTCTTTTATTAGTTATCCAAATACAGCGTCATCAGAAGGCGTTATTATGGTTACACATCTCATATTACATACAAGAGATAGGAAAGCGATACTAAAGATGCAAAAGCGAAACTCAACTCTGGCTATTTGGTACCAGTTACTACCAGGCGAGAGACCCATCTCTTCGTCTCCCCGTTATCAGAGATTACCTCAACCCTCAGGAATGTAGCAGGAAGGGATATCTCTGGCTTTGCTAATACAGTCTATGTTAAGAACAAAGAGAGAATGAATAGGGCCCTTCAGAGAGTATCCATATGAACCCGCTTTTCATAGTCAGATTATTTCGATGCTAAGCTCCATACAAGTGTCCAACCAGTTAAACTGGTCTATACATGTACTATGGCCACCGCATTCCCACACCTTCAGAGTATACACAAGATATGCAATGAGGAACAAACTACCGAGAGAAGTACATGTAAGATTTACGAAGAAGGCAGTGAAACAGATATTACAAGCTGCAAGAAATATAGCACAGAAACACAAAGATGAAATTGCGGTATTAAGATAAATACCTAGAAGAGTTAGAGAATTGAGGAGAGAATATCAGTTTCTAACCAAGTTCCTAATATTCAAAGGAGTGAAATTTAGATGGTTAAAAGCGGAAGGAATTTTGGTGACATGGCAAGAACAAAGACATAGACTTGACTCCATTGAAAAAGCAAAACTATTTAATCAACAATTTTGTGGACCACTAGAAGATGATTTGGAATCAATAGGAAAGACAAAGCAAAAAGATAGAGAAAGATAAAGTTGAAAAAATAGTGGAAAGAAGAGCCCTAAAAGAAGGAGCACAATCTAAAGATCCAATGGAACAAAGAGAGACAAGGGCGATGAAGTCAAAATCTAGTAACAAGTAAAACATGAAAGAAAAAATTAAAGCAAAAACACCTAAAAGAAAATCCTATTGTTTGAATTCATGGGATTCATTTCTAACTAGTTTTCAGGACTCTTCTGAAAAATATTAAGTATTAAACTCTTTCCACCAAACAAATTTTCTAATAATGTCTAATTTTCTAATTGTCTAATACAATGAAGCCTAGAAATTTTCTCTTGTTTGCAACTCAAGAACAATCTTGAACGCTGAGTGTGATTCAGCAGGACATTGGGGGGGGGGAGAACTGGGTTCAAATGGACACAGATTCAGCATTTGATGGTAAAAGCTCCATGAACGGATGGAGTTTGTACTTCACTATTCTCAGAAGAAATCTGCACCTACCTGGCAAAGAGGCTCAAGTTGGATCCCGCTGAAAAGCAGCTCCTCAGAAGGGCTGGATGGATCTCCTCTTTCCTGGACCTCTGTGGAGATCTCCCCCATGAACAGTTCCTGCACCTGACAGAAGAATCTGGTTTATGATCCAGTTTCAGAGAACCAGAACCATATTAGTTTGCTTGCCTTACTTTTTGCCTCTGTACCTGTATTTCCCCAACCTAATTCAAAGTAAAAGAACTTGGGGACTTTGCTCTCTATGTAGCTGCTATTTCTGGGTAAATGCTGGTCATTGTAGATAGATATTGGACATAAGGAGCCCTGTTGCAATAACTAACGCAACTGCTATGAAAATCACAACTACTCCTGTAATAAAGAACTGTTAAGGGAGACGCTATCGTTTCATTAATTCTAGAAAACAATATTCTGTGAAGTGACTGGAAAACCCTACAGGTTACAACTTAACATTTTAGGTAATAACGTCAGAAATATAGGAGTGATTGAGAATTAATCGTTTGAATATCATCAGCTGAACTGGAAAAAGTGCCCCAATTAATTCCTTCACTAGAGGAAAGATAAAGAGATGTTGGAGAAGAAATTGAGGCCACTTCCTCAAATTAAGGACCCTCTTCTATCCTTCAGAAGTGCGGGTGGTTAAAAGAGGGTTGAATTCTCTTTTCTCTCAGAATTATCTCCCAAGAGGAAACAAGCATTTCAAGGAACAAAAAGATTCCCAGAAGAAATTAGTTTCCCAAATACTGGCAGTCAGCAGGCTAATTCTGCACCTGATCCTGACCGGCTCAAGACTGACAGCCTTCAATCTGCCGTTGCTACCATCGGTTCATTGGAGGCGTTGAAAGATTCCCCGATTCTCCCCTCCTCACCTGCTGCCCCTTTGGCGGCCCTTCCCTCTGGGCTTGGCTGAGCAGGAAGCCTTCGGCCAGGGCCACCGCCTGGGAGCAGCTCTCGGCCCCGCACTCCCTCACCCAGCTCGCCATCTCCGCGGGCAGCAGGGCCAGCGGGGCTCGGTTGACTCGGGGCTTCGGCGCCTGAGGAGAGCAACCGCCAATCGTTCCCGCCACAATTTCCCGCGCAACGCAAACGATAGATACGGGCTTGCTGATCTTTCATTCCCGGCCAGCCGGCTGTTCAGCGCTGATGCTCTTCTTGGCGGGGGAGTTGGGGGGGGGGGGCAGGAGAGCTGTGGCTTTAAAGCACGTGGCAAAAGCGGTGGCCGGAGGGGCCCCCGCATGCAAGGGACCCTGATTATCTCGGCGTCGCCCTTCTAAACCAAGCGGTTGCAGTTGCCTAGGTCCTGGTTCCTTGCAGGGAACTCGGGGAGACTGTTGGGAAAATAGGGACTGTGTCCGGCTGCTGAGGATGGGGGCTAAGCATCGGAAGGCGTCTTTTGCAATTAACACATTTCCTGAAAAAGCAAAGAGTTTGGTGACTGCAGCTCCCTTCCTCAGTAGAATGGAATAGAATAGAATAGAATAGAATAGAATAGAATAAAATATGGGATGGAATGGAATGGAATGGAATGGAATGGAATGGAATGGAATAGAATAGAATAGAATAGAATAGAATAGAATAGAATAGAATAGAATATGGAATGGAATGGAATGGAATAGAATAGAATAGAATAGAATAGAATAGAATATGGGATGGAATAGAATAGAATAGAATAGAATAGAATATGGAATGGAATAGAATAGAATAGAATAGAATAGAATAGAATAGAATAGAATAGAATTCTTTATTGGCCAAGTGTGATTGGACACACAAGGAATTTTCTTTGATGTTATATGCTCTCAATGTACATAAGGAAAATAAAATACATTAATCAAGAATAAAAAGATACAACACTTAGTGATAGTCAAGGTTACTAATAAGCTATCAAATCGTACTAGGAAACAAAGAAAAACAATATAAATTGAAAGATACAAGCAACACGGTTATAGTAATAAGTGGGAAGAGTTAGATACTAGTAAGGAAGAGAAGAATGATAGTAATACAGTCTTAGTAAATTATTTGAGTGTGGGAATTAGTTGTTAAGCAGCGATGGCATTTGGGGAAAAAAACTGTCTAGTTGTTTTTGTGTGCAGTGCCCTCTAGCGTCTTTTTGAGGGTAGAAGTTGAAACAATTTATGTCCAGGATGTGAGGGGTCTGTAGATATTTTCACAGCCCTCTTTTTGACTTGTGCAGTATACAGATCCTCAATGGGAGGCAGGTTGGAAGCATAGAGCGGTATTGAAATCGGGAAGAGGGATTGGAAGCAGGGTGGATTTGGGTTTGTGCAAAGGAGGGAAGACTTGAACACAAGAGACTTAGTGTCTTAGAGAAAATGTTACCTAAGTGGTCACTCGAGACTCTCCAAGGCAGTGTTAACTACGGACAGTTCTCAAGAGTAGCAATTTCCATATATTTTATGCAGGAATTATACTTTCCTTCTTTAACTTTTGAGTTTATAGTTTAGAAACATGCATCACTTTTAACACCCAAAGCTCTTCAAAAATCAGATCATTGTTTCTATACAAACACACATTTGTAATCTTCTTATACCTGGTTTTAACAGATTTTATTTTTTGCCGCCTACTCATGTGCTTGACAAAGATGGCTACAAACACTAAATAATTCATAAATTATAAGTAATGCAGGTACCTCACTATTTCACCAATTCCTGGGGATCCCCAGTCCAGGAACCATCTCAGAGATGAACTGTCTTTTAGGTCCTGCCAGATATAACTTTTTAAAAAATAGGACACTCAGTCTTCTACTTCTGCTGGACTTTATGAAGCTGGCAGACGTAAACAGAAACAAGGGGTCCCTTGAAATAACCTGGCCCCAATGCGATGAAGAGCTTTAACGGTCAAAGTGAGAGCCTTGAATGGGACTCAGAAGCAAACTGGCAACCCATTCAGCTATCAATGTAGAGATATAGTGTGTGTTATTTGAGGGGTACATGTGACTGCCCACAATGTCATCTTTTGTCTCAACAGAAATTTTGGCTACTCTTCAAGGGCAGCCTCATTTATTTATAAAATGTATTGGCTGCCCATCTTACCGTGAGGTAAAAATCCATTACAGTAGTCCAATCAGGAAGTAAGGGCATGTGTGACCATGAGCAGGAACAATTGGTGCACAACATGAAGCTGTACAAAGATCCTCCTAGCCACAACTTCTACCCATTCTTTGGGCAGAAATTGTGAGTCTAGGACTGCCAGGTTGGACACCAAGATTTACAGAGTAAATGTGGCTATTTTTGAAAGGAAAGAGTATCTGTACGGTTTCTCACCTATGTCAGTTTATTTCTTTTCTTTTATTTCTTTATTTTATCAGACTTATATGCCGCCCTTTCTCCACAAGGACTCAGGGCGGCTCACAACAATAAGCAGCAACAAGTCCAGATTAAAATTCAAACAATAAAAGAAACTAAAATTCCCATTAAAACCCCATTCAGTCCAGGCCAGCCTGGCGAAACCACCATGTTTTAAGGTCATGGCAGAAAGAGCGAAGGTCAGGGGCCACCTGAAGCTCCAAGGGGAGCTGATTCCAGAGGGTAGGTGCGCCTACAGAGAAGGCTCGCTCTCTAGGGGCCGTCAGCCAGCACTGCTTGGCCGACGGGACCCCAAGTAGGCCCTCTCTGTGTGAGCGCACCGGGCGATGGGGAGCTGTTGCTGGCCACAGATGATCCGCCAAATGCCCCGGGCCTAAGCCATGTAGGGCTTTATAGGTAATCACCAACACCTTGAACCTCACCCGGAGGGCAACCGGTAGCCAATGCAGGTCATGCAGGAGAGATGTGACATGGCAGCATCGGGACACTCCCATCACTACCTGCGCGGCTGCATTCTGCACCAGCTGAAGCCTCCGGTTTTCAAGGGCAGCCCCATGTGGAGAAGTTGTTTGGTTGCAAATAAAATAGTTCTTTCCACAATTTACATCATCTTTAGTCGCTGTCTGTATGAAACCTTTCATGAGAATTGGCACAATTCCTCAGAATGAAACACTTTATAAATTCTGTTCACTGGGACACTTGCATTGGAATTCCTGGTGGTTTACTATCCCATTTCTAACCATTTCAGACCTTGCTTATCTAGATAAAGTTGGTCAGGTGCCAGAAAGTACCCAATCCCATTTTAGCCTCACCTGATGTTATAAGGACCCATTTGGTGGGCCACTCCATCCACAATCTTCCATGCTTAATTCTAGTACTTTGGATCCCTCCTTTGGCTTCTTGCTTTCTCAGAATGGAAGCACTTACAGGCATAGCTCATGTTAATGTGCTTAGTTGAGCAAATTCATCCATTCATTCATTCGTTCATTCATTCATTCATTCATTCATTCATTCATTCATTCAATTTATATGCTGCCCCTCTCCGAAGACCCAGGGCGGCTCACAATACACTCAAAAAATCACTATAAAAACACTTAAAAATTAAAAACATTAAAGACATTAAAACCCATTCACACCATTCATGGCCAGATCTCATCAGATCGCAAAGCGAGATCAACGGCCCCAGGCCTGCGGGAAAAGCCAGGTCTTCACCACTTTTCGGAAGGCCAATAGGGTGGGGATGGTCCAGACCTCAGGAGGTAACTGGTTCCAGCCGGCATTGTTTAGCTGACGGGATTGGTGCTATTCTTCTAAGAGTATTTGCCCATTACCAATAAAGTATTTTTTAATGAAGGTATGTTACATTGTTGTTTTTTTTACACACAATGCTATTGCACATTGAATAGACCTACAGTATACTGTAACTTTTATATGCACTGGAAAATGGAAACATTTATGACCGCATTTATGACCTCTTCATCTCTGCCCTTTTGGGTAACCTGCTCAGCAGCAGTTCTCGGTGGTGGTGGCAGGAACACTTCAGAGGCCTGGCCCTTGAACAGTCTGAACCTGCTGCCCAGGCCTCTACTTCAGTACTAGTGGAGTCAGCACCACTACTGAGGAATCCAGTCAAACACCCGAATGCCACAGCACAAACCCCCAGCCACCTCATGCTCCACAAGTGCTGCCTTGCCCAACTGACCTTCACCATGTTCTCCCACTCTTAACCAGGCAGGTCCAGCCTTCCAGGAGGCAGCTGCCGGTTGTGTCAGACCCTCTTTCAGATGCTGCTCACAGCCTTCTCCAAATTGCACCAGCCACTCTCCAAGAAGTACACCCCGTTCCCATGTGGAAAGAATCTTTGGAAAGATTCTGAGGCCTTCCAAGGCATCGCAAAACTGGGGGCGCTTGCTATTCTCCAAATGGTGCTGTAAAAGAGTGCAATGGAGAATGGAAGGCGCACACAGGAAGTGGTTTTGCCCAGTGGGAAAGAGCTGAGGTTGTCTCAGGGAACCAGGTGTAGGAGAAGCTGAGGGAAGCCCCAGTGCTCTCTCACTGGATGAAAGCGCTTTCAGCATTACCCCTTTGCAAAAAATCCTGGGCAGGGGTTGGGCTGGCTTTGCGATGGGGAAAAAAAGGTGGGAGGAGGAGTCTGAAAGGCAGATTTCAGGGTTTTTTCTCCCCGGCCCTATACATCCAGGAACATGATGCAAAGAGGCATTTGGTGCACTCTAGCCCAGTGTTTCTCAACTTTGGCAACTTTAAGGGGTGTGGACTTCAAATCCCAGGATTCCCCAGCCAGCATGGCAGTTGAAGTCCCACGCCTCTTAAAGTTCCCAAGATTAAGAAACACTGCTTTAGCCTGATTAAGTGGAAAACCAGCCTCCTATAGCCCAGGAGCGTGACACAAAGGGGCATTTAAGCACAGTCTAGTTTACTCCGCTAAAGCTGCTTTTATTTCCACACACAAAGCCAACCACAATATGGCCCAGCTGGCAGGGTAGGCACATTTCAACAGAATCAGGAGCAACAAATATGGCAGCAGGTGGGGAAGCAGAGCATGGATCTTGGGAGTGCCGGTTAGCAAATCTGGAGTAGAGCAGCAGTATGTTAAAGATACTGGGCCAGAAATCAGGAGACCGGGAGTTCTAGTCCTGTCTTAAGCATAGTGGCCTTGAGCCAATCATACCCTCTCAGTTCTAGGAAGCAGGCAATGGCAAACCTCTTCCAAAATCTTGCAAAGAAAACTGCAGGGTACAGGCCAGGCCAGGCCG